ACCTTTTGTTTAAGAAATTTAAAAAAAAATACAATATTATTGTAAAAAAGAACTTATTACATTTTTGCACATAGCGTTAGTATACTTGTTTTTTATTATTATTTTAATTCGTATATTATAAATCATTTAATAAATGTTTTTACAAATTGTTGTTTTTTCTTTATTTTAGGTTATGCTTAAATAATTTCTTTGTATTGCCTTTAGAAATGGTTTGAGATGTTAGTTACCAAAAGGTCTTTTGTTTTATATTTTTTGTTTTAATTTTGTGATACAATATTTGTTTTTTAATTTTATTTTTAGAAAAAGGGCCGGTCTAAGTGTTTGTTTTTTTCATTTCTTTATTTATTTATTTTTTTTTTTTTTTGAAATTAAAAATTTTGCCAAAAATATTTACAAAAACCTATCTAAATAAAACGCCTCTCTGTTTGCCTAAACTGTTTATGTTTTCATTTGTTTCTTTTTTCTCTTTTTTCTTTTTTACGATTTAGCCGAAATTATGTTAATTCTTTTTTTTTTTTTTTTGCTTTAACTTAATTGTATTTTGTTGTTGTTTATACAATAATAATGTTTTTTTGTTTTACTAAAATTTTATTGTTTCATTTAGTTTTATGCCTAAATATGTTGTAATTTTGTTTTTTTTAGCCAAAATGTTTGTTTAATAATTTTGTATAAAAAATGCCCAAAGTTTTGTGTGTGTGTGTGTTTTTTTTTTGTTATAGCGATTTGTTTTACCTTAGATCTTTGTAAATATTGTTGTTAATGTCAAGCCTAAAAGTTTATTTTTGGGAGGGGGGAAGGTATTTGTTTGGATTAACATTAGATTCCAAATTCAAAATTTGCATTTTCCTTTTTTTGTCATAAAATTGGCCAAAATAAATGATTTTTCTTCTTCATTCCATGATTGAGGGAGGGGTTTTAAGTCACCACTTTACTTGAAAGTTTAAAAAAAATGATTTTCTTAGGTTTGTTTTTTTATAATTTGAGTTATGTTTTCATTGAAAAAAAAAATAAAATAAAATTCAAATAAAAATACATAATTACATTTAAAAAAGAAATTACATTTACTTAGTTAATAAAAAAAAACTTTTTTCTTTAATTCATTATTATTATTTTTTATTGTTGTTTTAGTCTCAACTATTGCATTTCTTTTTTAATCTGAGGTAGTTTAGTTACTATTGCAGTTTCTTTGAAGAATTTCTTCTTGGTTTTTGTTGTTATGTCTTTTGGTTACATTTTTGTTGTTGTTCTTGTAATTATTACTATTGAATTAATTTATAATTTGGGGTTGTTGTCATATTGCTATTGTTGTTGATATTATTTCGTTTGTTGTTACATTCATTGTCTAATTGTGATGTGTATGTAAAAGTGGGGGGAGTGGAGGTGTGAATGAGGGAGGGAGGGAGTAAAATTCAGAAGAAATTGTAAATAAAACAACATTTAAGGGGAAAAATTAGTACCACCAGAAAACAAAAACTCAACAATTAGATCTAAGCCATAACTGATTTAATTTTTTTGAGAGAAGGAAAGAGGGAACAAGACAATGTTCTATTGGGAAGACAAGCAAGGCCTATATAAGGTCGTCCAAGAAGACTGCTTTTGACAACAATTTGAAAAAAACAAATCTCTTTGAATTTCAAATCACAATTATGCCTTTGACACATGGGCTTACTGACCGACCTTATACAGGGTGAGATGAAATTCAAGCGTGATAGTATGATTTCTTTATATTTATCTGGAAAACCACAAGTGGCTATCGTTAGAGCACTCCAGCATTTAAATGTGAAGGTGACCAAATCGAACAAATCTAAATTTATTCTAATATTTGATGCTATTTCCGACATTTTTAGCTTTCATTCAATAAAATTCAAAAAAAAATGTAAAAATTATAGCGTTTGACTTTGTTGGAGTTTTTTATCTCACCCTGTATATGTATGGGGCCAAACACCCTAAACTATTTTTAGAGCATAGGAGTTTAGGAATCAAAAACTTAATTTTTTATGAAAACGAAAAAGTTCCGTTATCGATATTTGCCATAGATTTTGCCTTTGCTTTCAAGGCCCATATAAAATTGGCCAAGAAGAAGATTAATTTTACCAAACTATATTTTGAAACTTGAAGATATCATGGGAATTTTATAATTACTATGGATTATTAATAGCCTCTTGCAATTGTTATTTATTTTTTTTTTTGTTTATTTCAAATTATTTATCAGTTTGCTTAGGCTTCTAATTTAGTGTTGATGTTTCCGTTTTTCTTCTCCGTTTGTGTGTCGGTGTTTTACAACTAAAATCTAGATAAAAACTAATTTAAAATTATATATATATATTTTTGTTAAACGAAAATTATAAGCTAAAAACATTTCTGAGGTATATGAGTTCCTGTGTGCGTGTGTATTACTTAAAATAATAATAAAAATAATATATATATTTTTTTGATTTGTTTGAAACAAAGTCGTATAACTAAACTTAAACTAACCAAGAATATGCAACTAAATATAAGAAACATAATAATAATAATAAAAAACAAAACAAATGAATTTGTGTTCCAAGAACATTTTAGATATTTCAACCAAAAAAAAATCCATAATCTTTTATATATATCTATAACTGTTAAAGAGGCACTGCAATATTATCTTAAAAATAATAAAAAATTCAGACTCCAGGAACAATATTACAATACCTCCCGTTTGGTAAACAGTTGTAAATGATATACAAAAAACAGTAACTTTTTCTTTTTTGGAAAATAGCTAAAAATGTTCGAAAACATAAATATGTATGTGATTTGAAAGTGGAAATGCTTCCCAGACTTTACAGAAAATGTATTATTGAAATACAAGGAGGTAATTTAACGGTTGGTTGGTTGGTTACATAATTAGTAGTGTTTTTGGATAATGAATACAATATGTTTCAAAAAAAGGTTGGGGAAATATTGCCTTTTTAACAAATTCGAGAGGGAAAATAAATCAAAAATGAAAATAAACTAATGGGGGTTATTGTTTGTTTGGTCTATGGGATAGGGGTGTGGCGCAAGGAATTGCAAGGAAATTGTTTAGCGTTTGTGGTTTTCCTTTTTCTTCTTCTATATTTTGTATTCATAATGTTAAAAGTAAAATTTAAAATAAAATAATATTAATTACATTTATAAATTTAAAAAAAGTATATATTTTTTTAAATCTATATATATTTAAAAATAATAAAATATGCAAAATTATCAATGGAACAAATTTATTTTCTTTTTTTTCACATAAAAACTGTGAAAAAAATAATCCAAAATTATTTGAAATATATTTTTCATTATTTTTATGAAAAACTAAAGGAAAGTGAAATTTGTTTATTGATAATTTGCTGATCACAGAACAAATGGTTTATAGTTTTTCTTTTGATATCGATATTTTGTTTTCAGTTAATAATGCAATGATACATAAACATAATGTGAATGATTTTTTATTGATAAAAAAAAACGTTTGCAAGGAACGTAACTCAAACTTGGAATGTTATTAGAATGACTCACATATTATATTTTAAAAACATTGCAATAATGGAAACGTTTTTTTGAATCTAACTGAATTGGCTGAAGTGGTTTGTGGTTATATATCTAGAGATACAATTTGTTATCTTCATTGGTTATATGATTTTGGGTCATTCTCATTTTGTTCCAGGTTTGAGTATTGTTGTTCTAAACGTCTATTACAGGGTGGGGTGAAAAAACTGCAACCAACTTCAGGCTGCTGTCATTTCTTAGCCACTCGTCCAAGAGCTGGTAAAATTATTCCAGTGACAGCTCATTATATTGTTTACAAGCGTACAAAAGCATTTCGGTGAGAATTTTCCAGAAAAAAAGTTATTCATGGTGCAATTCAAGCGTGATAGTGTGATTTCTTTATATTTGAAAACCACAAGTGGCTAACCTTAGAGCACTCCAGCATTTAAATATAAATTAATGGTTCGAAAAGCAGAAATGGTTCGAAAAATAAAGAACCGACTTGATCGAAACCCGCGTCAGAGTGGCCGAAAAATGGCCCGTGAGCTGAACATATCGCAATATTCCATTCGGAAAATATTGAAAAATGAGCCATTGAAATTCCAAAAAGTGTAAGAACTTACACCGCAACAGGATGAAAATGGCCTCAAAAGAGCTAAAGTGTTGTTTCGCTTGTCCGAAAGTGGTGAACTGCCGAATTCGGTTTTCTCCGATGAGAAAACATTCGTTGTCCAGCAGTTTGTAAACAAACAACATGATCGTGTTTACCTGCCAAAGAGGTCAGCTGAAAATGTGCACCTTCGGTTGGCCAACAGAACTCATGCGCCGGCCATGGTAATGGTGTGGCCCCAATAACTGCCGATCGTCGCTCTCTGCTCGTATTAATCGACCGTGGCATCACAATAAATGCAGAATATTATCTCGAAAATAATCTGGAGGGTGTGTTAAAGCCTTGGGCATGCAAACATTTTGGTCGCAGACCTTGGACATTCCAACAGGACTCAATGACGGTTTCGTTGGCTGTTGGTTGAAGGCCATAATTCGTGTCAAAGGTGGTGACCATTCGAACAAATCTAAACATATTCTAAAATTTGATGCTATTTCCGACATTTTTTTGCATTTTTGCGACAGTAAAATTAAAAAAAATTTAAAAATTATGGCGTTTGACTTTGTTGCAGTTTTTTATCTCACCCTGTATAATGTGGTTGCAATTTTCTTTTCATTTAAATTAAGAAACCATTGCTATTGTTAAACTATAAAAAGAAATTAAAATGTTAAAATGTTGTTGGAGCATGCAAATAAAATTTGTGTGGATGGCAAAGGGATCTCGAACTCTTTAGTTTCCTTTTTTGTGGTTAATGGTTTGGTTAAAGTCCAATCCATTCCTATTCGGAACTAAGAACATTCGAAAATCTTACCATTCACACAATATCCCTGGCATGCGGATTTGGGTTGGGGGGGGGGGGGGGGGGTAGGTGAATGGTATTGTGGTCGTGGAAAATTTCTAATGGAAGTGTTAAAATTATTAACTATTTTGGCTATTTGTTTTTGTTTGTTTGTATAAAATTATTTCTTTTTTTTCATAATATTTTCTTTTTGTTTTATATTTCGTATATATCAGAGTTTTGAAAGGCTTCTTTAAGGTTCACAGAAACAGAACATATATGGTTGTAATAGATTGAATTAATATTTTTTTCTTTACATTATTTGTTGTTTGTTTTTTGTTTTTCTGTAATAAGAATTATAATATTATATAAAATATTTATAATGCTAAAAGTTGTATGGTTTTCTTTTTGTTTTGTTATTAAATTATAAACTACTACATATGTTGTTGGTATTATAATTATAAGTGTTATGTTATTTATAATATAATTAATATATATTTTTTGTTTTCTTTAAAACAAAAAAAAATGAATTCAAAACTTAAAAGCGCAATTGTATTATTTTTACAAATTGTGTTTGTTTTTTTTTTCAAATATTGCTTTTAAAAGAAAAAATAAATGTGAAAAAAGAAAAGAAAATTTCTCAAATGTAAAAAAATCATTTTTCATTTTTTTGTTAAGCCAAAAATGCAATTTTGAATTTTGATAAGTTTTGGTTGGGTTTTCTTTCGCTCTCTCTCTTGTTTAGAAAAGTACAAAAGTACAAATTTTGTTTCTTTTTCGTTTTCTAGATGGTTTGTTTTTTTGAAAAACGTTTTTCAAAGGGTGTGCCAAAAGGAATTTTGTTAGATAATGTCTTTAGTTTTTTTTTCATGTTTTATAAAGAAAATGAAAAAAAACGAAATAAACATTAAATTAATTTTTGTTAAAATAGTTTTTTTTTATTTTTAACAAGTTTTATGCGAACGTTTTTGAATTGCCTTGTATTGTAGTTTATTTATTTATTTATTTGTTGCTTTTTTTGGTTATGTAGTAGTTTTATTTTGTTGTTTTATTTCATCTTTGTCTTGTTGCTGTTGTTGTTTTGTTAACTTTTGTATCTTGTGTCTGTCTGTGTGTGTATGCGTGTATTTATTTATTATTTTCTTATTCTTTTTCTTGTTACGTTTTTAATATTTGATTTAATAAAAAAATTTAACTACATTTTTAAATATTTTTTTATTTATATTAATTATAGGCACCCAATTTACCGATTTCTTATTTTTTGTTGTTTGTATGTTTATTTGTTGTTTACAATTAATGTTTGTTCATCTTGTTGTTGGTGGTTCTTTTTGTGTTGTAAGAGAAATTAAAGAAAAATGTTTTTGTTTTTCTGAATTTCTATTTTTGCTATTTTGTTTGGTTTAGTTTTTGAATTTTGAATGCCGAAAAGGGTATTTTGAGATTTAGGTGTTGTTTTTTGTTTTTTTTTTTTTTTTTTGTGGTCAAAGGAAGCAGAGATTGTAGGTTCCACAGCAAATTTTGTCCCATTAAAGTTTTAAATCTCAAGCCATGTTTATATGGAAATATCAAGACAGTTGTCTTTCTAGATAGGTCATAGTTCAGCCTAAATTGTTTTAGTGCACCATCTTAAGTCTTGTACTAAACCAAATCCTTTGGGCAAATGTAAATAAGTCCTTATACAGGAAAAACATTGCTGACAACACAAATATCAGCCAATAATTGTCCATAATATAGACCACCTTAAACTAATCCTTACAGCATGCCTTGAACTCATTGGAATACAACTGAAGGAGTGGTCTAAAGTCGTCTTCAAATGCCATGTTTTATACGACCTGAAACGTCTTTATATAAGGCCAATAGAAAGTTATCTTTATGAACCCAAAGTTATATGAATGGACGACCATAAGGATGCTTCAAAACGATATGTCTTCTTAGACGAAATATAATTCATTCATGTGGAGGACTGTAGAGCTTGATTTGAAGGTTACCAAACTCAGCAATGGCAAAAAAACAAATGACTCCAAAGGAAAATCGTTAACTTTTTCCCTGAATGGTGAGATTAACTTAATTTGTGGACCCCAAATCGGAATGTATCTGCATTCCTTATATGAGATATAACATCATCATATTGTCCTACAAAACTGCTTCGCGTTTTACCTCTGCTTCTAGAACTGAAGAACAAATCAAAAAAGAATGTAATTTGGTGTGTGTTTGTTTTGCTTTTACTTTTGTTGGTTAAATTTTATGCAGCCAAAGATAGTGGTTTTTGTTTTTCAAAGTTTGAATTAGAATAAGGACTAAAGGTAAGCTGTACTGACAAAAAAAAATTATAACAAACTACAGTTTTGTTTTTAAATAAATTGTTGTTGTTTATGATATTATTAAAGGAAGTTACAGAGTTGGAAAGTCTCACTTGAAAGGGTAGGGGCATGGGGGGTTAACATTTTATAGACTTGCGAAACTTTCAGTCAACTCTGATTGGTTGGTTTTTATTTAATCATATTATTGCAGGTACTTGTGGTTACTATTTCCATGTTTGTTTGTTTGTTTGTATCCATACTATTATTATTTGCTATTGTTGTTTTGTATAATGACACTTGTGGTATATATATATTTAAATGTTAACTTAAAATAACAAAAAAAAAACTAAAATACTTTTGGAGTTGTATAAATAAAAATAATAAATTTTTTAAGCTTGAAAGCTTTTGTTGTTGCTTGTACTATTGGAAAATAAAATTGAATGAAAAATAACACATGGACTAAAAGAGGTTACAATATGGGCGGATGTTGTAATGTCAAACAACAAACCCGAAATAGTCTTCAAATTCTACAATAATTTCTTCTCTGTATTAGCTGTAGAAATGGAAGCCTTCGAATCGAATAGAAGTTATTTTCCATTGCTTAGCAATTCTAACGACTGTACTGATTTTGATAACTAATCTGTATTGTATTTGATTCTATGACCATCTTCGTACCATAAAGATTCAAATATTCTACAAAGCCTTATTTCAGAGAAAGTATCCTTTGGCAAAATTTCCCTTAAGTGATTATAACTTTTCAGTCCATGTGTTAAACAGCATTGTGTATGGGTTCGGAGAGGAAAGTTGGAGATTTGAAATTATGTGGTGTATTGTAAATTAATGATATAAACTATTATAGTAAGTATTTAAAAATAGTCAATGTTTTGTTTTTTTGGCTATTGCAAAAAATGGCTTAGTCTTGAGTTATTGTTTTTTTGATTATTTCAGTTGCAGTTGTAGTTGTTTGTTTGTTTTTTAAGGTACTTTTGTAATATTGCATTTTGTTATATTGCTATTGTAGTTGTTATATGGCTGGCTCGTCATAGTGTTGATGGTTGTTTTGTGTAGTTTTGAAAACAATAAAAAGAATATATAACTTAAAAAAATAAAACGTATATATATGTTTTTATCAATCCAAAAACGTTCAAACTTTGTTGTAATTATTCTTCTTTAGACTTTTCATTTTTTCTTTTGAATTTTAACTATTATTTCTTTTTTATTTAATTTAAGGCTTTGTTTGTTTCTCTTTTCATTTCATTCCTTCAATAACGTTCAATATGTAAATTCATGTTATTTTCTTTGTTTGTTTTCTTTTAAATTTGCATTTTTCTTTTCTTTTTTGGTTTTGATTTTGTTTTTTTTTTTTCAATTCAATTAAATTAAAGATCATCAACAAAAAGAAACTAAAAAATATTATTAGCACCCTGAAAACGATTTTTCAGTCGGATTCTTTTCATAATGATTATTTGCTTGATTGATTGATTGTAATTCATTCATTCATTCTTTCATTGATTTAGTTTTCTTTGCTATAAAATTTGCATTTTAACGATTTTATGTAACAACGAGAAAATCGTACTATTTGTTTTTCTTTCTTTTAACAACAATGAACACGGAGAAATAATAATTAAAATGGAAACTGAAAAATTCTTGGCAAACTAAACGATTACAATTACAAAACAAAAAACAAATTATTCACACATTTTTTTATAGTAGCTCTGTACATAATAATGACAAATTAGTTTACAGCTTTTAGGCTTTCTTCGGTTAAGATTAGAACATAAATTTAGCATTAAAAGAGTTTTGGCGTTTTAGTTTATCTCTTTTTTGTAGGCTTTCCACATGTTTCATATGCTTAACAAAGCCTTTTAGGCCAAAAAATAATATTTTTGGCCATATTGTTTTATTCCATCCAGCAACAGCAGTTGCAACAGTAGTTTTCTTAATATTTAGGCATTTTCTTTTTTTTACTCTCAATGAGTGCTGCGCGATTTGAATGAAAATTGATGTCAATTTCTTCATTCACTTTTTGTAGAGGCTAATTCTTTTTCTTTAACATTGATCATTCTGATCATCGTTGTTGTTGTTATTTTTCTCCTGCTGTATCTGCGATTCTTGTGTAACAGTTTGCTGCTCCATCGCCTTCTCCTGTTCCTGCTCCTGCTCGTGCTCTTTTGCAACTTCTGCCTTCGGCTCCTTGTTGCAGGAAGAATTTGTGTAATCTAAGGGTTTGTCATCTGAAGAATCCTGGTTATTTGTTTCTTTGCTTAAATTTTGACAATTAAACGATGATTCCGCAGATTGCAAATCCTCATCTTCTTCCTCCTCTTCAACTCTAGATTTGGACAATTCTGAATTAGCCACTTCAGCGGATGTATCCATAGAGGTTTCAGTTTCTGTGGTATCCATTTCATGGCTAAGATTTTTATCTTCATCATCCTTGGTTAGATCTAATGTTGACTCGGTTTGAGCCTTAGTTGGCGATGTTGTTGTACTAGCAGGAGGAACAGCCGGAGCTGTCATGGTTGGAGAAGTAATTGGCGCCTGTGGTTGCTGTGGTTGATCACCACCAGCATCTCTGCGCTGCATACACTTCTCCAGTGCCATTTTTAATGACTTGCGTTTACGTTGTTTATTAGCCTCTTTTTGTGCACTCATAACTACTGCTGCCGCCGCTGTTGCGGCCGCATCCTATTGTGAATGATTGGCGGCCGCAGCTGCAGCGGCAACGGAAGCTGGGGCAATGGTGGCACCAGCACTCAGGCCAATCTCTTGTTTGTGTTCTCTTGCAATGTGACGGCGTACGGTATTGTTGCGTGTAAATGTACGTGAACAGAACGGACATGGCACCCGGATACCCTGATGACGTTGCCGTATATGCGCTCGCAGATTTGTCTCATAGCCATACAAACGATCGCAATACAAACATTTAAGTTTCTTGCCTACAAGTGTATCCAAATTAGGAACGAACAAAGCGTTTAATTGTGTTTTTTTTTTTTTTTTTGGGTGTGTTGGAGCGGAGGGAAGGAAAAATAAAAAAATAATTTGTTTTAATTTTTCTTTTGCAAATTAGCCAATTGTTGTTGTTGAAATTAAAAAACAAAAAACTATTACTTACCATCAGCTGTATTTACCATGCCACTGTTTTTATTATTCAATTTTGTGGCATTCCATACATTTAACATATCGGCGGGTGGTATTGAAGCCGCTAAACTACCGGGCAAAGAGCCATCAGGATTTTTTAGGCTCTCCAATAAAGCGGTTGGTGTGGTGGGTGAGGTATTTGAGGTGGGTGGTGGTGGGGGTGAATAGTTGGAATTTTCCAATTTAACCCGTAAATCTTCAGCACAGTTCTAGAATAGGTTAGAAAATATTTAGTTATGAAACAGGATTTCAATCAGTCAGTTCCTAAGGTCCGTTGAGTTTTTTTGAAAGCTTTTTGTTTTCGGGGTCTGAGGATTGTTGTATTGGAATAAAGTTTCTTCATGAGCTTTTTAGCTGTAACCTATCTTCAGTGCCTCAGATCTTTTGAATATTTATAAATCAATCCCCAGGACTTAATTTAACAATTAAATCTAAAAAGGCTCTTATCTGAGTGTTGAAATTGAGTTTTGTTTTTGTTGAAACTATGTATTCTCAAAATTGGATATTTTTCGTTGGGATAGGATATTTTTAACATTTTTATGGTTGAGTTTCCAACAAAATATCATCTTGAATATATGAAAAATTTAAGCCTTCAATCCTGACATTCTTTGAACAAGCTTGAGTCCTTAGTAAACATTAATCCGCTTAAAGGAGGACTTTTTTCTAGTGGAAACCCACATAGTTTCTTTAAAATAAAAATTAAAATAAGTAAGATCAATTCACTCAATGAAAAAAAATAGATCTCAGGTCCTGAGGAATGCTTCTGTAGGAAAACATCAGTCCTCGTTTATTTTCAAATCGGACAAATTACGCGTTGAAGATTTTCTCTAGATGAAACAATTACATTACAAGCCCTGACGTATGCATTTCTCAGCCAACGAATTTTTTATTTGGAGTCTTAAAAAACTTTCTAAGCTCGTAACCCATCCCTTTTTCTACTCACCTCTCTGGGATCATCTAAATCTTCATGATCATCATCGTTGTTAGCCTCTTTTGTACTGCCATTATTACGTTCCATTTTAACCGATCTATCCAATGTGCCGCTATTTGTATTACCATTGCCTCCTGTGGTGCTGGGACTGTGATTATCGTAACGACTGAAATCCATAGAAAAACAACAACAACAACAACAATTAATGTTTACTCTTAAAACTAGCTAAAAATCTCTTCACAAAAAATCACCTCGATTGTGGCGATGCCCTTTCCGAATGCATTGTATCTGCCTCTGTTGGTGCTGTCGACGATGCACTGGACGATGGTCGATGATAGGGAGGTTTACTGATCGGGCTTGGACACTCTGATGGATTTTTCGAACCGTCTCTCAGCACACTGCCACGTACTTCCTGTTCGGCATAGGGACTGCGGAGGGCACGTTTACGCAATGGTTCATATGAAATTGGTCTATACATGGGCGGCACATATGAGGACATATTTCCCAATGTTGAACTACTGGGATGCATGAGTGAATCGCATTCTTGTTTCAGACTACCGGTAGAGCTACCGAGATGGTGAGCAGCGCCAGCGCCGCTACCTAAACCAGCGGCAGAGCTACCACCAGCAGAACTATTTGTACCCGATGGTGGGCCACTAATTATACCTCCTGTACTGGGACAACGTTCGGGTAAACCTAAATTACCGCCACCACCTCCGCCCGGTGCATTGATGCCGCCGGCGGAACTGTTTATGTTACCCGAACCCAAGCTGGAAGAGCCGGTTAGACTGTTGTTGCCAGCACCGCTAATGCTGTTACGTATACTGCGTCGGCTGGGGGAATCCAGCAGCGAAGAGGATTCAATGTGTTGCTGAGCCTGTTGGGCTGCCAAACGCCCTGTTTCCGTGGACAAACCTTTGACCTGCATTAAAAAAAAGAAATTGTTCATTGAATTACTTGATCGATAGCAGAGCCTGGTACATTTACCTGTAAATTTTCGGCAGATTTGAGGAAACTGTTGAGGGCCTCTTGTGAGACATGTACTTCACCTTTGTACATAAATTCGAGCAATGCCGCCATGTTATCGGAGGACGTTGCCTCCAGTATGACAACACATTGTCCATTTGTGGGTGTTGTCTCAAACAGATCGGCAAATTTTTTCGAACACGCCGCCAATATTAATTTGTGAGCTTTGAAAACAGTGCCTGAAAGGAAGAAGAAGAATACTTCATTAATTTTTATTCAAACACTTTTAAGAAATTTTGTGAATAAGAATGTATAAATTGTAATAATATATTTTCCTAAAAGTATGCTTTAAAACACACTATAAATTGTGATCTTTATTTAGAGTTTAAGAAAATCTTAAAAAATAGAAATGTCTACCCCTCTTCATGGCAACCAAGAAATATCTACGGCAATTTCCTTGCTTTTCGAGAGAAAAAACAAAAAAAAAAGAAAAAAACAGAAAGGGAAACTTCTAAAGGCATATTTTTAAAAACAATTACATTGGCCCAGCAGGAGTAACAACATGCCAAGCTTTCCAATCTACACTTGATACATCCCACTGCACCACTGCCGCTCCCTCTCTACTGGCTAAGAAGATATTTAACGATTTGACAGCTGTTCAATTTTCCCACAAATGTTTTGGTGCCATAGCGAATGACAGGAACCCCAAAAATTGTGTCGAAGAGAGGGAGAACAAACAACAACAAGAGACATAAAATATTTCACTTTTACTTTGAGTGCATGACACGAAGACGTTTGGTTCCTTTTTTGTGTCTGCTTCTTCATTGGAGCGAGAATTTCGGCAGGAAAGAAATAGAAAGTGGGTGGATGGTTGGTTGGATGTTTGCATGAATGCGATATTGGTTGTCAAAAAAGTTGACTGCTGGCAAACTGTCTTTTCAAATTTCTTTAAGTATAAAGTTTGTGAGATACAACAAGTGCCCCATAAACAATCACGAAAACAACAACAAAGAGAAGGACGACGCAGCATAGGCAAGAAAATTGGTGCGTCGACTTGGTTGGTTCCGCCTGAACAAAGGTGTATTGAAATGTTGTAATAAAAATGCCAAAGACATGAAAACATTGCCGTTTTTTTAGATAAATAAATAAATAACTAGTTTGTTGCTCTAGAGGAGTTGGGTTGTGCTCTTTGCGTGTAAATGGAATTTAGGCTATGTGGGGTTTAAAAAAAAAGAATAATTTTACATAAAATAAGGGTGAAAAATTTGTACCCCGATTTTTAGATAAATTTAATGAAATGGGCAACAATTTTCACGGGGCGGATTAATTGTGCACCAAATAACCAATATCAGTCCTAATGAACTGAATTTTGGCACATCCGAACGAATTCAGTCTAGAAGCAAGTACATCAAATTTGGTGAAAATCGGTTCAGATATAGCTATAGCACCCATATATATATATTTCATCCGATTTGGGGTTTAAGTCCCTCACATTCGTAATATGCATTGGACAACAATGATATTGTATTTGCCTCCCATATATTAGTTCTCTCTGGATCCAAATTATAACTGCTCTAAGGCCAAAGGTTGATAGGAGATATGATCGGCTTCAAATAAATTATTTTGTTATGGGAACTCTACATGGTAGAATTTTATGCCAAATAATTTTGTTGATTATTTTGACTTGCGACGATCCCGTTTCAGGGGAGTTTTTAGCAATTTTTTGAAAAAAAAAAGTATCAAAAATACCCCTTTGGGGACTAGCTTGGAGGTTGACAAATATATTCAAGATATTCCTCGTATTGTTATCTTTAGTACTGCCGAAGAAAACTGATTTCAAGGAATCTTAATCCGAAAATTCCAAAAAAATGTAGAAGAGGGGGAACTTATCCCCTTATCCCCAAAACTTATCCTTATAATTTGCTGATAATATGGATAATGTAAATCAACAATGTGGGTAAAAAAAATATGTTTATCCCATAATTCAAAAACATTGATTCTTAAGATTTTTTCGATTTTGAGTTTGGGGTTTGTTTCCATCCCACAATTTCGTGTAAAGATTTGGCGCGTTTACATTTTCAATGGTCGAAAGATATTTGTTGTGGTGGTGGTTCTTCTTTTGGCTGTTGTTGTTTTCCTTTGATGTTCATGGTTCAAGACCAAGGAAATTATTTCTTTATGTATATACCTACATAAATACATATTTACTTGGCCTTATTTTCCTCGTTGATTTACCCCAAACACTGATGCCTGATTTTCTTTTAGCATTTTCTCTTCATCCTGTGTTTGTATGTATTCCCAGGTCATGAGGGGGTGTGGGCGGTGTGGTGCGGTAGCCCAGCATAGATACATATTTTCTCTGAAAATTAGGTATGTATGCAGGAAAATACAAGTATATATGTCTGTGCATCTTGTTTTGTTATTTCTATTAAATATATGTAACGTTGTAACGCGTATTGTAAAGTATATACATTTGTAAACCCCCCAAATCCCGCAAAACAACTATATGGTATGACATGATTTTTATGGGTTCAAGGTCTTGTCTCTATTTTTTTTTTCATTCATTCATTCATAATAAAAGGATAACTTTCAATTTTATTCATATTCTTTATATTATCTTGTTTTTATTGTTTGTTTGGTTCAGTTTTTTTTTCATTTCGCTGTCTTCTTCTACTTTAATATTTAACATATATACATTGGTATAAAGGAATGTTTATGTTAATAATGTATGTTAGATGCCGGCGTTATACATTTTTTTGTTGTTTTTTGTGGTTTTCTATTTTTCTGCCCACCAGCATTTCTGTGGAAACGTTGTCAACACGGTCTTACAAAATTTAATGCGAAAAAATGAGGTTATGTATGGTAAAGGAATCGTCATATTCTTGTAATTAGATATTCTTCGGTTTCAAAGAATGAAGATATTTAATAGAACAGGGAAACTTTATACAGGGTGAGATAAAAAAACTGTAACAAAGTCAAACACCATAATTAGCATTAGAAATAGCATTTTAGAATAAGTTTAGAATTTATTCGAATTGGTCACCTTTAGCACGAATTATGGCCTTCAAACGGCCAATGAAACCGTCACAAGCTGCCGGAAAATTGCTCTGCGGTATTTTGGTCCATTCCCGGCGAAGCGCTTGCTTGAGGTGATCGACACTTTGGTATTTTTTAGTCCCAAACTTGCTTTCTAAAATACAATAGTGCAACGGATTGGTATCCGGAGAATTTGGTGGCAATTGTGCTCTGGAAATGAAGCGAGGAACCTAATTTTGTAACCATTCTTGTCCTGTTATAATGTCCAAGGTCTGCGGCCAAAATGTTTGCGTGCCCAAGGCTTTAATACATAATATTTTCGCGATAATATTCGGCAATTATTCTGATGCAACGGTCAATTAATATGAGCGGAGAGCGACCATTGGCTGTTATGGCGGCCCACACCATCTTGAGTTCTGGTGGCCAATCGAAGGTGCACATTTTAAGCTGACCTCTTTAGCAAGTAAACACGATAATTTTGTTTGTTTACAAACTGCTGGACAACGCATGTTTTCTCATCGGAGGAAACCAAATTCGGCAGTTCACCTCTTTCGTCCAAGCGAAGCAACTCTTTAGCTCTTTTGAGTCAATTTTCTTTCAGTTGCGGTGTAAGTTCTTGCACTTTTTGGAATTTCATTGGCTTTACCCCGAGCTTATTTTTCAATATTTGCCGAATGGAATATTGCGATATGTTCAGCTCACGAGCCATTTTTCGGCCACTGCGAGGCGGGTTTCGATCAAGTCGCTTTTTTTACTTTTCGAACCATTTTTGCTGATGTTGCTTTTTTCTTCCGTCCACTTCCTTGACGTCGGGCTATGCTACCAGTATCACGTTAACGGGCGATGGTACGAGTCACAAAAGATTTATTCACATTTAAATTTTCCAGCCAAATATAAAAAATCACACTATCACGCTTGAATTCCATCACGAATAACTTTTTTTCTGGAAAATTCTCACCAAAAAGGTTCTGTACGCTTGTAAACACTCTAATGAGCTGTCACTGGAATAATTTTAACAGCTGTCGGACGAGTGACTTAGAAATGACAGCAGTCTGAAGTTGGTTGCAGTTTTCCCATCTCACCTTATACAAATGGTACAATAGTTTGCTATTGATTTTTAGTTGGTTAAATTGTTCAGGATAAAATCATCTTAGTGGTCATAGTTATTGTAGCTCTATTGTTTTGTTAAATATTCTTTTGTACTTTTCTTCTAGGATGTTCCTAATTGCATATCTTTGAAATGTATACTTTACATCAGAAATCCTTAAATAAAAGTTTTCAAAATAATTCATATATTTTAAAGGTTCATTAATCAATCGTGTACCAATGTAAACACGAGCTGCTTTATTATGAACTGCTTTATTTAAAAAAAGTATTTGTTTTTAATATTTTTGTCGCATAGTGTAATATTTATAATGTCACAGGTGTTCAAAAGTACTTTTCAAGTAGATTTTAATTTAAGAGCCTCAAAGTATGCTTTGAAATTTGTAAAAACATATATAAAGCTTTGCAAACGAATTTCAAATGGGGAAACAGTTTTTAGAAGAGAACGAAAAAAAAGAATGTATTTTTTAAAGCAAAAAATTTAAAATTGGAATTTTGGAATAACCCAGCAATTCATATTGTTAGTTATCAGAATTAATAGTTTAATTAATATATAATTTTCTTCATATTTAATCTCAAAATGAACAGAAAACTCTATGTCATGCCACCACACACATACAGTACATATCTATCTGTATATAAAGCATCAAAACCTTAACTATTCAACATCAACAAAATTATTTTCACACTTTTTTCGCCCCTCGTAACTGATAAGCGATTCAATAGCAGCCGCATAGTGCTGTTCATATTCCCCCCCGATCCCAACCAAATGCACGCGCTGCAAAATAGCACTGAATTTAGGCCACATACAAAATAAACTTAAAAAAGAAAACAAACAAGCAATACAACAGCAAAAAAAAAACACTAAATACGAAAAATATTCAGAAGTAGCTATATACTATTTTGTTTGTTTCTTGTTTGACGTTATATATGGCTGCAGCACTTCATAGTAGTTGTAGTGCAAATGTGCAAAAAAAAGAAAACAATTCGCTGAAAAACAACATAGAATAGGCAGGCGGCAGGCATATGATTCACCAGCTGGCTCCGACAAAGTCGTGTGATAATAATTATTGAAAATATGTAATCGAAACAAATGAAA